CTGGCACTCTGACCGTCTGTCATATCAGGGTCTGGCATATCCATACAGAAAATCCAGAAAACAAATCACAAAAACAACACAATAAAAATTCAGACAAATTAAAACTACCCCAGACAGACTCAGATCACTTACTATTGCTCTGTCTTACAATCCAACCAAATTCCAAAACCTTTGCTCTGATACCACCAAAAAGGCTTGTTACGACCCAACCCGACCGGGACAGGTCCCGCACGCATCGGGTCGTGAGGCCTGAACTTTCAGACTGACTGAACTGATTCCAGGATCTGGCTTTGGAATTTATTTCAGAACTTTCTTCCAAACATTACACACAGAAACAGACACACAGAGCTACTATACACATCAATAGACAGCGGAACAGATCATCTATCTTTTCCCTCAAAAGAATCATATACAAATACAGCTCATGGCCTTCAGACAGAAAGAAAGACCCAACAGAAAAGCCATGACTGTACAAAAATCAAAAGTGCAAAATACTTATAACAGATCAGACTCTGAACTTCTAGTCCTGGACTTCCTTCCCTTTCCCATAACCTAAAAACCACGCAGAAAACAAGGATGACCTACAACAGCTCAGCAAGACAACAAACCTTCAATCAAAATCCTCAGAGTCCACATCAAACACATCAGACAGAAATCGGAAAAGAAATCGGAACAGAATCGTATATCAAATCAGAACAGAATCAGAATAGTACAGATCAGATCAAATCAGAATAGAGCAGAAATACATCCCATCAGAACTGACAGAACGTACAAACATCAGAAATCAGATTAAATCATATCATCTTAGCATTCATATCAGAACAGACATAATCGTACGGAAATCAGAATCGGATCGTATTAGAATAGATCAGAATCGTGTCAGAATCAAATCAAAATCATACTCATACAGATCAGATCGAATTATATCATAAGGAAATCGAAAATCATATCAATTCAGAAATAGATCAAAAGACAGAACAGATTCCCTGACACTTACAGAATCTCAATGGATTCTGGCCCCTTATGCCTCCCTTCCCAGACACCGACAGAATCTCTTGAATTTTGGCCCCTTATGTCTCCCTTTGTGCTCACGGCACCAGAACAGATGTGCTTATAGCACCAGAACAGAATTTATCATCAGATTCGGAACTTGTATTCAGAAACAGATTTCAGAGCTCATTTCAGATTTTTCCTGACACAGATAGGATCTCACAGGATCCTGACCCCTTATAACTCCCTTTTTATAACACACAATCATATCAATTCATTTCAGAACAAATCCGGACAATTTCAGAATTCATAAGAAAATCCGGCAGCGTAACGACAGTATACAGAATTTACACAAAATTTTCTAAAAATCACAAATTACTAAATTATCACATAATGTTCACAACTACATTGCAAGACTTTTATTCTACTGCCACAACATTTTTAGACATCGTCAAAAATTACAGTCGAAAGAAAACACCGCGGAATCAAAAATATCCGGTCAAAATTCTTCAGAAAATAATCAAAATGTGCACACTCGGCACCTCAGAAACATACCAAAAGTTACGCGGTAAAAACTGAACCAATCGGAAAATACGGACGAAATTCGCTAACAAAAATGAAATCCAGACAGAAAAGTCATTCAAATTGCACCGTTCTGAAAATTGAGAAAGGCGGAATGTGCCTTACCTTGCGTACAGCACTTTCTCGAACAATCTCGTCGGACGAAAACGGCACGGCGTCGCCCGAAAATCAACTTTTCCAAATTTGCCCTCGACATTCTCTCTCCTCAAAACTCATTTTAGATATTTTATGATTTTCTCTCTCTTCAAAATGATAATGCACTGATCGGCCTGGCCGATCGCACGATCGTCCTGGACGATCTGAACAAATTCCACATCGTCCTGGGACAATTTCACAGGACGATAATTAATTTCCAGGATGATTCGCTCTCTGACTTTTGCCATATACTGATCGTTCCGGGATGATCCCAGATAGGCCCGGACGATCCCTACAGGAAATCATTCCTATAACTTCTGGACAGAATCTGGAACGGAATTTACACTAATCGTCCTGGGACGATCCAGATCGGCCCGGACGATCCTGGAGCAGATTTGATGTTACAATCTCCCCAACTTCAGAAAAATGTTGTCCTCGACATTGCCCGATCAAAACTCAGTCAAAATAAGTACGGGTACGACTTCCTCATGTCTGATTCTTTCTCCCAAGTCGCTTCTCGTGCAGTTCGATGCCTCCACTGCACCTTAACCATCAGAATCTCTTTACTTCTCAACTTACGTACATCGTAAGCTAGAATCAACTCGGGTTCTTCCTTATAGCTCAGATTCTCCTGAATCTCAACCTCATCAGCGGACACTTTCTTGCCAGAGTCAGACATCCACTTTCTTAAAGTAGATACGTGGAACACATTGTGCACATCGGACATCGGATCCGATAACAACAACCTATAAGCAGATTTTCCAATACTTTCAAGAATTTCAAAAGGTCCAATATACCTTGGACTAAGCTTACTCACTCTGCCAAATCTGCTCACACCCTTCATCGGACTGACTTTGACATACACAAAGTCACCAACTTGAAATTCAACGAACCTGTACTTCTGATTGTAATATTTCTGCTGTCTATCTTGTGCA